CCGTCGAGGAGGAGATTCGGCGGCTGGAGGAGAAGTGGCGGCAACCGGCGTGTGAGTTCCTGCAGGTGAGACCCTGGGGGGCCAGAAACGGGTGACAAATGAGTCCGAAATACTCCTTAAAAAGAGGGGTACAGGGCCCTTGAACACACAACCCAACTTGTCAACCCAACCCAACAACCCAACCCAACCTCTCCAGGTGTCCAAGGGCCTTGACAACCCAACCCAACAGCCCAACCCAACATCCTGAAGTATCTGAGGTCCTTGACAACTCAACCCAACAACCCAACCCAACCTCTCCAGGTGTCCAAGGCCCTCACCAACCCAACAACCCAACCCAACAACCAAACCCAACAACCCAACCCAACAACCAAACCCAACCTCTCGAGGTGTCCCAGGCCCTTGACAACCCAACCCAACAACCCAACCCAACCTGTCAAGGTGTCCAGGGCCCTTGACAACCCAACCCAACAACTCAACCCAACACCCTGAGGTATCTGAGGCCCTTGACAACCCAACCCAACAACCCAATTTGTCAACCCAACCTCTTGAGGTGTCCCAGGCCCTTGACACCCCAACCCAACAACCCAACCCAACCCAATGTCTTGAGGTATCCAAGGCCCTTGACAACCCCACTTGACAACCCAACCCAACAACCCATCCCAAAGTCTCAAGGTGTCCAAGGTCCTTGACAACCCAACCCAACAACCCAACCCAACAACCAAATCCAGCCTCTCAAGGTGTCCAAGGTCCTTGACAACCCAACCCAACAACCCAATTTGTCAACCCAACCCAACAACCCAATTTGTCAACCCAACCCAACAACCCAATCCAACATCTCAAGGTGTCCCAGGCCCTTGACACCCCAACTTGACAGCCCAACCCAACAACCCAACCCAACATCTCCAGGTGCCCAAGGTCCTTGACAATCCAACCCGATAACCCAACCTGATAACCCAACCCAACAGCCCAACATCTCAGGATGTCCAAGGCCCTTGTCAACCCAACCCAACAACCAAACCCAGTCTCTCGACGTGTCCAAGGTCCTCAACAACCCAACAACCCAACCCAACATCCTGAGGTATCTGAGGTCCTTGACAACCCAACCCAACAACCAAACCCAACAACCCAACCCAACCTCTTGAGGTGTCCAAGGTCCTTGACAACCCAACCCAACCCAACAACCCAACCCAACATCAGAGGTATCTGAGGTCCTTGACAACTCAACCCAACAGTTGTTGAACAGTTGAGTTCAACCCAACAACCCAACCCAACAACCCAGCCCATCCTCTTGAGGTGTCCCAGGCCCTTGACACCCCAACCCAACCTCTCAAGGTGTCTAAGGCCCTTGACAACCCAACCCAACCCAACAACCCAACCCAACTTCTCAAGGTGTCCCAGGCCTTTGACAACCCAACCCAACCCAACAACTCAACCCAACAACCCAACCCAACCTCTCAAGGTGTCCAAGGCCCTCGACAACCCAACCCAACAACCCAATTTGTCAACCCAACCCAACAACCCAACCCAACATCTCCAGGTGCCCAAGGCCCTTGACAACCCAACCCGATAACCCAACCCAACAGCCCAACCCAACAACCCAACATCTCAGGATGTCCAAGGCCCTTGACAACCCAACCCAACAACCCAACCCAACAACCCAACCCAACTTCTCAAGGTGTCCCAGGCCTTTGACAACCCAACCCAACAACCCAACCCAACAACCCAACCCAACTTCTCAAGGTGTCCCAGGCCTTTGACAACCCAACCCAACAACCCAACCCAACAACCAAACCCAACCTCTCAAGGTGTCCAGGGCCCTTAACAACCCAACCCAACAACCCAACCCAACAACCAAACCCAACCTCTTGAGGTGTCCAAGGCCCTTGACAACTCAACCCAACAACTCAACCCAACACCCTGAGGTATCTGAGGCCCTTGACAACCCAACCCAGCAACCCAACCCAACCTCTCGAGGTGTCCCAGGCCCTGGACAACCCAACCCAACCCAACAACCCAACCCAACAACCAAACCCAACCTCTCAAGGTGTCCAGGGCCCTTGACAACCCAACCCAGCAACCCAACCCAACCTCTCGAGGTGTCCAAGTCCCCCTGTCCGTGACAAGAAGCGCTCATTCTGTCACCCAAACTGCTTCCCTGCGCCCACCCCCAGACACCGCTCAACCCCTGATTTAAGACACTCAAATCTGATGGAAGAGGGAGACGAAAGCCATTGGCTGATGGCCGATGACTCATTATATGACGTCACCATGACCTCACTCGACTCCCCGTGTAAACGTGGGCAAATTGGTGTTTAAGGCCTCATTTGAGACCCGTAATTAAGACCCAGCAGCGCCCGGAGTTGACCGCAGGGCCTTGAGGCGGCCTCTTCTTGCACCCCATGGGGTTGACCTTGCTCCTTCTCTTTCCTTTGCAGGACAGCGGCGACATCCTGAGCAGGTTTGCGCCTCTTCCCGCCCCGTTCGCGTGGTTTTTCTCCGCGGTGGCGACGCCGGTGGCCTCTGAAAACCCAACCGCGTACGATCCCCCCGTATCAGGGCCCCTCTAGGGACACGGGAGACCACCGGGACACCGCGAAAGGTCCAAGTAGGACGTTGAAGGCCACGGGATGAGGGTACCCCCAGCGCTTCCTCTCTATGGTCCATCCAAAATTTGGAGGCAGAATTTAAAAATTTAAACACATCCGGGTGGAGGGACAAATTTCGTGCCCTTTTCGGTCCCAATATTCCCGATTTCATCATTAAAAACCCCGTTGAAGGTCGATCGCCGCGTTTATGAGGGCAGGAAGTGACGTCAGAAATGGTTTCCTTTCCTTGCAGGCTCGAGGAGGCCGGGGCCCAAAAGGCAGAGGAGGCATCGCCCGAGTTGGGAGAGGAACCCACGGCTCCGCCCCCCAAAAATGCGGCCCTGAAGGAGACGCTGATGAAATTTCGAGGTGTGGAGAAGGCGGGGGAGGGGAGGGGTTGAGGACCCTCAAGACGGGGAAGGGGAAATTTTGGTTGGACCCGGTGGTCTTAAAGATCTCCGACCAAATTCTGATTCCCAAATATTTCAAAATCGAATTATTCTTTCCAAAGATTTCCAAATTGTTATTTCCAAATATTTCCAACCCAAACCGTTATTTCCAAATATTTCCACTATTTTTGAATGCTCACCTTCTCTCCACCCGCAGTGAGTCCGACGCTGGATCCAGAGACCGCCCACCCTCGCCTCGTCCTATCGGAGGACGGCAAGCGCGTCAGGTGGGACGACACCCGCCAACCCGTCCCGGATAACCCCAAACGTTTCGACTCCTCCCGTTGCGTCCTGGGCCTCCGTGGTTTCCGCGAGGGGTGCCACTACTGGGAGGTGGAGGTGGGCGAGGGGGACGCCTGGGCCCTGGGGGTGGCCAAGGAGTCGGTGAGGAGAAAGGGGCGAATCCGCGTCAACCCCGAGGTGGGGATTTGGGCGGTGGGGCAGTGCGGGAGCCAATACCAGGCCTTGGCCTCTCCCACCGTCCCCATCTCCCTCCCGGCCGCCCCCAGAGCGGTCGGGGTGTACCTGGACTACGAGGCAGGGCGCGTGGCCTTTTTTGACGCCGCCACCCAGGCCCCCATCTTTGCCTACCCCCCGACTTCCTTCGCGGGGGAGCAAATCCTCCCCCTGCTTTGTTTGGGGAGGGGGTGCCGGTTCACGCTGTCCCCTTGACCCCTCCATAACCACGGGGGTGGGGTTTTGGGGTGCTCACCCTCCCAGAGGTGGCTTTAGGGCAGCAAAAAAAGCCCAAAATTTGGGTGGAAAACGCTCATTTCCCCATCACTTTCGTCAACGAGGAGCGGCGATTGGCCCAGAATTTTTTGGGAGCGGGGCTGCTTTGCCCCACCCCACATTGGGGCACCAACGTTGGGCGCCAAGGTGCTTAAACGCCCCAAATTTCACTCTTTGAGTCACAATTAGGCCCCAAAATTCATCCCAAAGGCTCGGCCCTTAGCAGCAGACGAGGTTTGAAGACGCCCTCACAGGTTTTATCCCCCAGTTTCATCCCAACCCCTCCCGGAAGCTGCCTTGCACCCTCATAATTAAATATTTTGCCCGCCCCCGAGAACTCGTTTGCTTTGCGTCTGCCAAAATTTGGGCGAACCCCAGGGAAACTGGGATGAGCAGCTCCAAACTGGTTCCCAGTAAGAAATGGAGTGCGAGGGGTGAAAGGAGTGGAGTTTGCTTCCTTTTTTTCCCCCAAAAACCAGCTGGAAATGGGTAAATCTGATCGCTGGGAAACGCTGTTGGTTGAGGGAAAGCTGCGGGGTGGCTGCAGGGAGAATTTTGGGTTTGGGGTGCGGGGATGAGGGGAGGAGGAGGAGGGGGAGGTGGACAAAAAACCCGCAAAGAAATTGGGAAAAAAAAAAGGGGAAAAATTCAGTATTTGGTGATGAGTGGAAAAGAGAACGTGGGGGGTGCTCAGCACCACCTCCCTGGTGGTCTAGTGGTC